AAAAAAAAAAAAAAAAAACAAATCCTCTCCTCCCTCCCCGCTGATCCGCGGAATTTTCATCGTCTCGATGTTTCATTATTTTTCAAAACTTTATCGAATCTCACAATGACAGTTCTGACATTATCAGCGACATGACGGGACAGAGTCAAGATTACTGTGACCCTAAGCCTCACTCAGACAATCCCGACACTCTCTTCCGTATTGAACGATAAACTGAGAGAAAAAAAAATGCCAAGTGATCCATTATTTTTCCATCTCTCAATGTGAAAGATCCGCTCTACGTGTAAAAAACAACGTTTGTTTATGCTACGAGACCCGAATGGCAGGATCGTTCTTGGTCATATCGTCTCTCACTCGAGGAAGATTGGCTTCCGAAAATACATAACGTATGTGTGGTACCCCTATTACTGCTCTGTGACTTATGCCTTCGCAAACTAAAAATAAAACATCGTGCCTGAAGAGGTCCAAACAGATTGCGGGGGTGAGGCGAGGAGACAGGGAGGACTGTGCTGCGAGAGAAACCGTGTGTCTATGCCATGTCAATTTATTTATCCGTGGTTTGGGTGGAATACGTTGAACAAACAGGAGAGCGGAAATGGGTGAATCAAGCCAGTGATAAAGACAATTAATTGAGTAAAAATACATTTTTAAAGACAAGTGTAAATGATATTGTGTTTTCAAGTCAGTGTTGAATGAACTTTTTTTAAACTGAAATAGTGACTCTTCGTAACTAGAATGTTCCGACGGATTACAGTGACGCATAAGGCTGAACAATTCGTTGATGAAGTGACAAAAAATTCAATATCATGGACAATTCTAAAAGTGTCTAGGAAAAAACCTTTTAAACTGAATTTTCCTCTTTAAAAAAAACTCAGTCATCTTCCGACGAAAGTAAAAGCTACCCATCATCACCAATTGCTCCACCTAATCAGTGAAATCAACCGTAAATTCACCTGTAAAAAATAGGGAAGAGGAGGATTCCCTCGCGTGCCCCAAACGCGGAACTCCTCGCGAGACGCATCAAAGTCGCGTGTAATCGTTGTTCATCAGGCGAAATGAGAGAGAAAACTGCGAAATAGAGGTTTACGCGGTGAAAAAGAACCCTCCACGAAGGTGACCAGTGATTATTAATGTCCCTCCTCCCCTTCGACGTATTATTATTTTTTTTCAATTTTTCAACGGGGGGAGAGAGCACGTTTTCAACTCTTTTCCCTCCCTGGGAACCCGCCAGTGCTGCATAGAAAATGGGGAGTATCCGTGTAAACTGAATTGCGCCGACGTTAGCGTGAAATTAAACGTATGGAAAACCGGTTTACAACGCTGGTAAGGTGACTGTAGTGCACAGATCCGATCGAATACGTATGTTGAGGTCGAGTTAACCGTAGGAGAGATGTATACGAAATAAAGGGGAATTGACAAAATCTTTCAACTTTTCGCGATCAACTAATTGATTAATCATATTTTTCTCCATTCCTTTTGGTGAATTGAGTCTTGATATCCGTTTCGGAGTGGTGGTAACTGAATATTTGCATCTCTAACTCTATTCAGACGAGAATAATTGTGAGAATAAACAAAATGATCGGCTCGATCGATTGACGAAATGACAGATAAAAAAGAATTGTTGAGATCAAATCATTTTCCTGTATATGGGTGAAATAAAGGGGAATTGACAACATTTTTCAACTTTTCGCGATTAATTAATTGATTAATTAAATTTTTCCCCTTTCGTTTTGTTGAATGAGTTTTGGTATCTGTTCTGAAGGAAACGCAACTGACTATTTGCCTCTTCAACTCTATTCAGACGAGAATAATTATGAGAATAAACAAAAGAATCGGCTCGATCGATCGCCGAAATGACAGATAAAAAAAGAATTGATAAGATCAAATCATTTCCTTGTATATCTGTGAAATAAAGGGGAATTGACAAAATCTTTTAACTTGCCGCGATCAACTAATTGATTAATCAAATTTTTCTCCATTCCTTTTGGTGAATTGAGTCTTGACATCCGTTTCCAAGTGGTGGTAACTGAATATGTGCATCTCTAACTCAATTCAGACGATAATAATTATGAGTATAAACAAAAGGATCAGCTCGATCGGTTGACAAAATGACAGATGAAAAAAATAATTGTTGAGATCAAATCATTATCATGTATATGTGTGACATATAGAATTGACAATTCTATTTCAAATTTAATAGAATTGACAAAATCTTTCAACTTATCGCGATCAACTAATTGATTAATTAAATTTTTCCCCTTTCCTCTTGTTCAATGAGTTTTGGTATCTGCTTTGAAGCAGTGGCAACTGAATATTTGCCTCCAACTCTATTCAGACGAGAATAATTATGAGAATAAACAAAAGAATCAGCTCGATCAGTTGACAAAATGACAGATGAAAAAAAGAATTGACAAGATCAAATCATTTTCCTGTATATGTGTGAAATAAAGGGGAATTGACAAAATCTTTCAACATTTCGCGATCAACTAATTGATTAATCAAATTTTTCTCCATTCCTTTTGTTGAATTGAGTCTTAATTAATATCCGTTTCGAAGTGGTGGTAACTGAATATTTGCGTCTCTAACTCTATTCAGACGAGAATAAACAAAAGGATCAGCTCGATCGATTGACAAAATGACAGATAAAAAAAAAGAATTGATAAGATCAAATAATTTTCCTGTCATGATACAAGACAGCCGTCGGAATCAGCAGGCGCGAGAATAATCAACTCGTGTTGATGAATATTCACAAAATAGTCGAACCTTCCTAGAATTCGTAACGCGTTTCGCGTTTTTTCTGATTTATGATTCTCTGAATATCGTAAATGAGGCACATTGACACAATTCTTGAAGAATACAACCATCCCATACTCGAGGAAATAACCTTTCGCTCCGAGTGCGACACACAAGACGGATGATTACCCATAATTGATCGTCTACTCTATTTTCAATTTTTTCATCGACAACGATTTTCTCGATTTTCCCAGCGCCAATCGGGATTGAAAAAATGCGATCAATGGGGGCATGGATAATACATCGGCGACATGTATCGAGACAAATAGCTGAATCGTTAATTCTTCTGTAAAGTCCATCGACGATCGCGATAATCTGAAGAATTCGCGAGTCAGTAGACGGAAGATAAAATATTAATGAACACACGCAACTACTCCCTCTTCATCGCGGAATAGCACATGACTCCCTGATGCACTACTACCCCCTCATTGATCCTATACAGGCAGTGTCAAACAATGGGACAACCGAAAATCCACAATTAAAAAAAAAACCCCAAGAGAGAGGAACGAGGAGGTCGCGCGGTAACTGCAATCCAATTTAAAAGCGGATACAATCCACCGCGAGATCTTCACGATTTCTACACACGAATAAGACAGGTCCACCGAGCGTGAAATCATATGCGGTGTCCAGTCACGGATGGCACCTTCGATTGCCTCCTCCGTATATTTTTTTCTCCCCCTCATTCTCCTTTTTTTCCTGCGCGATCTCCGGCCGTTTCGTTGGCGGAATGAGGGATAAAAATTGGTCGATTCAACGGTGGCGCGTGGGATGGCGCCACCGCTCGGACCGTCTCTCCGCTGCGGTTACAGGTGAAGGCAATCGGACGTCCTTCCCGCGGTGTTCGATTCCAAGCGATTTCGAGCGAGAAAAAATATATGTCAAAAAATAGTGAGAAAAAAAATGAATCGTTCGCGTGCGGGAATTAAAATTCACAAGCGATTGATAGATTCCCCTCCGTCCTTTTACGTAACGCGAGCATTCGAGCGACCCACGTCTACCGGGAGAACCGGGTTACAGGAAGACATATATTGATGAGCGACAGAGAGCATCCAGAGCGTCACGCATTCGGTCTTCTAATCGTTTTGCTACTATGTGCATATCTGGAAATACGCGGTACATGGTACAGCAAGTGTAGATGAGAAAGAGTGCAGTTAACCACGTGAAAACCATAACGCGAGAATGGATAATTTCTCTCATTTCGTATCCGGAGAGAAGACTCGAATCGATTATTATCCGGTGAATTACACGTGGCGACTATGAAAGTACGATTAAAATGCACTGGGGAGGATGAATTTACTTAATGGCTGGTGGGTTAAGAGTAGAGGTTGGAGGATATGCACGTTACGACGCCTATTGACGGTTTGTAGGCTCCGGCCTGTACTTAAATAACAGCCAACGTCCACTACCGGTGCTATGCCCGATACGACTACCGACGACCTTTGCCCCGATCATTTTTTTCCGCCTCTTTATTTTCCAGGTTTTTTTTTCATTATTTTTCCGAGTTATTCCACGTATATTCTGCGACGCTTCCGTGACTTTAATTTCAAGCAATCAGCGATAAACGTTAACGGACTGCGACGAATTCTGGACGGCTCTTGATTTCTTCCTGATGACGAGGATTTACGTCTTAATTTTTCCGCGCGGTGATTTCCACATTAAACCACTGAGAATCCCCCTCATTTCGGTTTAGAAAAATAAACGGAAAAGTAAAGACGCAAAAGCGTCGTGTATCCCGCGCGTGTCGGTATGCATAAATAAACATTCCAATAGCCAAGTGTTAGCCCGAAAATTGTTGAAAATTTTCATGCCTTGAGATGTCCAAATAAATAACGAAGAATTTTTATTCTGACCTGATTTCAGGACTCGGAGAACGGTCCACTGCTCGATAGATGGAGCATCTGCTCAGGTGAAGAGGAGCCGCTGGTGTTGCAGCAGTTCCTGAGATTTCCGGAGACGCGTCCGTTTGTGCAGCAACTACTGCTTGCTGCCAGTACGACAGCGTCGACGGATGTAATGTCACCTAGTAGACGACCATCACCGCCTACTATGCCACTGGCCCATCTACCGCCATCGTTACACCTATTGCACAGTCGTTTGCCACATCCTGGTTCACGTTTACCACCGCCATTGCCACCACCACCACCGCCACCACCAGTAACACACTCATCGATGTCGCCGTCCGCCCAGCAGAAGCACTTTTCGCCGTCAACGTCATCAGCCAATCACAGTGGTGGATCACCACCGCGAAGCCTGGACTCATCGCACTCTCATCTTGGCTCGCCACTCAACAGATTGCAGAGTATGCAGCCCTTTGATTTTCGAGAATTGGGCAGTCTTGGTCTCGGTAGTTTTCCCCATCTAGCCCCACCACCACTGGACCAACTAATGCAATCGAGAAAATCACTGAGACACGGACAAAGTCCACACAGTCCACCACATCACTCATCGGCATCACAACTGAGGCCACCAATGCCAGTGGCACCGATATCCACGACGGCTCTGGCATTTGGCCATCCTCTGGCTGTGGCGGGCTCGTCGGGAGCCCTACCTCCAAATTTTCCCGTCAATTTCTCTCACCCTTCAATGGGAAAGTTAACAGCAAGCGCTGCAGGCGCTTCCCAACACGACGCTCAAAGCATTGGAGAGAAGAGTAGCGAATTTGGATCTGAGACTGAAGACGACGACGAGAACTCCGGTAGTGCACTGAATCTCAGCAGGAGGGATTCCAATCTCAAGGTGGATAAACAAAGATTACGATCGCTGCCGGTTCAGTCAGCAGCATCGTCCCTCGGTAGACCACCAACACTACCAGGGAGGAAGTCTCAATCACCTGGGAAACGTAACCAGTGGGGGACCACATCAAATCTACCACCCAATCTGGGGACACCGTTCATCAATCCGGCGACTGGCAAGAAACGGGTTCAGTGCAATGTATGTTTAAAGACATTTTGCGACAAGGGTGCACTAAAGATTCACTTCAGTGCTGTTCACCTACGAGAGATGCACCAGTGTACGGTAAAGGGTTGTAACACAAAATTCAGCTCGAGAAGATCAAGGAATCGTCACAGTGCCAATCCAAATCCAAAATTACACTCACCACATCTGCGCAGGAAGATATCACCCCACGATGGACGATCATCGATGGCCCACGCACTCGTTCTACCTCAGCAGATTGGTCTGCCTGTGCCGGCCAGCGGATTGAATCATCTACCATTCGGTTCATTTCCACTCTTGACACCACCACCTGATCTGCGATCGCCAGCTTCCCTCTGTGGACTTGACTTTAAACACCTGGATCTCTCGTCGACGCAGAGTCAAGCCATGTCGTATGAAGAAGCTATTCATCAGAGGATGATCACAACGACTGCCGCCACCACGATTGCTCCCTCATCTGGACCCTTCACCTTCACCACATCGACGACCCCTAGCACTCTCATGAGGGGCTCCTCGAGTACAACGAGCACCGCTGGTGGTAACTCTCCGTCCTCCCAGACCCCCTCGATCATCCTCGAGGGTGAGGAGGATGACGACGACGAAGAGGGTATCGTAATCGTTGGCGATGAGATCGAGGCCCTTCAGGCAGCAGCTGCCAGGAACGAAGAAGAGTCCCAATCGGCTCCCTTCAATCTTGCCAAAAGACCAAAGCTCTCCACCACCGGTGATGGACAGCAGGACGAGGATCTCGTCAGCAATACCGACAGCGTGGATGACACCGACTCCATGGGCACGATAGATCACCACGCTCCCACATTCAATAACGTTCACACCCAACTGAATACGACAACCTTCAACAATCGCGGTGTCAGAAAGAGGAAGTCTCAACACCCGACTAGGTGTGCTGTGCCAACAAATGTCCACTCACCGATGACGGACGCCGACTCATCGAACGACGCTGTCTTCCAGGATCAGCCCGAAGACATGTCGATGTCAAGACTCGAGCAGCAGAGGAAGAGTTCACCGTCTCCGAGGCACATAAACTTCAACAATCGATCTCACTCACCCTCTCCGGACATCAAGGACCGGAGAATTAGTGATCTTGAGAACGGTGGGGAGGATCCACAGGATGAGCCACGTGATCTCAGCTCTGGGGGTAGTAGTGTACGATCGGCAGCGAAGAGGTCGTACTCGCCCGAGCAAATAAAACGTGAGCCATCCTCACCGAATGCAGCGATCGATGAACGAGTCAATAGTAGGAGTCCTGCGGGTGACACCCGTAGTTCCAGTATCGATGGGCCAATGATAACCGCCCTCAAGACCGAGAAATCCCGACAAAACGACGAGGTACCAAAGTCCCTCGTGAAAGAGGAACTCCCCGAGGATGATCCTGCCATCGGCGAATCGTCCCGCGTACCACCCGAGGACGACGACTACCCCGATGACGATGAATCCAAGGATGTTAATCATCGTAAACGTCAAGGTGAGCGTCCCGATGTACCCTCCCGTGCCCCGAGCTCGGTCGACAGCTACCCGACCGTTACCGACGAACTATCCCTCGACTCCTCGAATGCTTTGCGTCAACTCGAGTCCTTGTCGCAGGGTCGCATGATGGGTCCATTGACGGCTCCAGGGAGGGACATACAAGCTGCATCGAGGCCTGGCAGAGTCTCTATCAGCCCTTCCGCCAGTCCAACCACGATCCAGGACAACATAATGGACAACTGCTCACGTGGTTCGCGTTCATCCAGCGGCTCGCCAGCGGCTATGGATACGGACAATAGTTTGATCACTTACGCGAGGTACGAGAATGGTGGCTTTGTCAGTACACAAGAGGTGCCACTTGATCGGGAAAATCCACGGAGGTGTACAGCATGCGGTAAAGTCTTCCAGAATCATTTCGGGGTGAAGACGCACTACCAAAATGTCCACCTCAAATTGATGCATCGTTGCAGTGTTGACGGGTGCAATGCTGCTTTTCCATCGAAGAGATCGCGCGACCGACATTCAGCTAATCTCAATCTCCATAGGAAGCTGCTGTCGACCTCCTCGAGTCCGCCATTGTCGGCGAGCCTTCCGTCAAGCTTATCGCCGAGGATTGAGGAGAGCCAGTTGAATCCTCTCCTTCACAATGACTTCCTGGCGAGGCTCTACGCCGACGCCGGGATTGGCGCCCTTGGAGGGTATCCTCTGTCCTCAGCCGTAGATCTTGCTGCGAGAATACCACCGCCTCATCTACTCCTACCACCCCATCTCGGCGGCTTCCCTGGGCTCTCGTCCTTTGCCAGTCATCTCGCTGGCCTCAACGGTCTCACCCACCAACACTTCAGCCAACTCAATCATCTCAGCAGACTTGGCCACGAACACGAACAGCAGCCAACGTCACCCATGTCAGGGCCGACGTCACCGGTGCGATCACCAAGTCCCAGTGATGAACGTAATGAGCAAGTTAGGTGTAATGTACCCGGATGTGATAGAGTCTTCGGTTCGCGGGCAGTGCGCGATGCTCATTCGCGTGATCCTCAGGCCCACAGGGACCTGTCGACCATATCGACGAGCAGCTCGTGACCGACATCACCGTATCCGCTCGCGATCACACGACGCGGCTACGAGTCTTTCCCGTGATTCCAAAAACATTTTCGTTGGCTAAATTATTTATCACACGAGGGTTGAGATTTCACTGCATGTCCGTCTGGTCTATTGCCATCTTGGAGGTGTTTAGTTCTACTCGAACGATTCATCAGTCATACACGGAGAGAAATTTTTGAGAACAATTATCCTACACTGAGAGAACAATGACAAAGCTCTCAAACGAGTCTTACTTGTGCCAAGAAAATAGTTTCTTGAACATTATCAAAAAAGGGTTTTTTGCGTCAAACATGCAGAGTGCGCCGGAATGAAAAATTTTTGTCGCAATCAAAAAAATTGCATTCTCTGTACATCCAAGAAATTTCATTTCTAGCACTACTCCTTCGTTATTCGATACTCTCATACGTATTTTGCTCCCGAAAAATCTTTGTTTTATGCGAAAAAAGGGATAGTAGTTTTTCGTTTCGGCTGTCTAATAATTACAGACAACAAATGAACCCTTAAATGAAACAATAATAATGATATGATAGCAATCTTGTAACTTAATAAATAATTATAAATAAAAATTTATAATTATTTATTAAGCTACAAGATTGCTATCATATCATTATTATAAATAAAATATTTGTTGATAAATTTTCCTCTATATGAGATATTTTCATCCTGAAAAGGTACCGTCTGGTGTGAATTATCCGCCTCTTGAGCCAAATATTTCATTGCTGTCGAAAGCAGAACAATTATTCATGTTTGAGACTTTCAAATTCGAACCAAACAAATTATTTTTTGGCAATTGTCAACTAGTGATTTTGTTCGCCCAAACAAGACTTGTTTGACAGGATGTTTGTCTTTCTCTCAGTGAACGGTAGGATAATTTTTATAAAAAATTTCTCCCCGTGTACCTTGACCTGATTTTACCAACCCCTCACTCTTGACTCGTTTCTAATCGTAATTGATTTTAAAAATAATCAATGACTGTGGCTGCTCGGTGGCTATTTATCAAATCGACAAAACGAATATATGAATTGAGTAACGATAAAGAAGTCATAAACTTCCGTGAAAATTTCATCATCGTTGTGATTTGCATACGTTAGTGATGGTACTGCTAAAATAATATTTAATCATTAATCCAGCCCTAGTGAAGCTGTATATACTTAATCGATGTGTATTTGACGTATAGAATTGTTTTCATTGGATCGCCAGTGAAAAGAAACTGATAGCGGTTTTAACGGTAATTTCAGTGAAGCCAGGAACCGAGTAGATTGAATAATTAAGGGGAGATATGAAAAGTTTTTGACAGGCGACTGTTGAGATTTTTGTAAAGTTACGGAAAAAGCATTCGCGAGGATCATTGAATAATTAATGGCAGCTAGGTATTTGCAATAACGTGAGTGACGATAGGAGAGAAAATTCCAGTTGTGTCGTGAAATCCAAAAAGCGATGATATCATATAGTGAATAAATAATTGTACAACTGACATCCCAGTGAGGATTTTAATGACACTCTGGTTTCATAGACTTAAAGATGAAAAATTTTAATCGAACGAAAGAACATAGATAGATATTATTTATTTGTTTCCTAGGGATCATATTAATGTTAATCTGTCATGGGCGGCCAGTAGCGGGCACTGCCGCGTCAACTTCCTCCTTTACTATTAATACTGAATGAAGGATTGAACATGAAGTTGATATGAATTGTCGTAAACGTCGTGAATAAAATGAAAAACCTCTCGTCGATTGTATGATTAATCGGTCGTAATAAACAGGAAGAGTTATAAAATGATGTGTGCGTATTTAATGGGCACCAAGAGTCGATTGTAATATCGCTGGAAAATAAGCACTTACTGCCTGTTGAATTATATCATTGTAATCGCACCCCGGGTTTAAGTGAAAATTATTGAAATTTCAAGTATACCGCCTACGAGAAAATTAAAAAAAAAACAATCGCTTTTATCGTTCTCCTGTACCAATTATCTTGGGTTGTACATACGTTGGCTAATTTTAAAATGAGAGTAGATGATCGAGAGTGTTTTATCCCTTTCCATAGACCATAATGAATTTAGACGTGAGAGAATTTTTCTACGCGATTATCTTCATTAAAATCATTCATTTAGAATCTCATCGAGCCAATTTTTTCGTTATCTCAATTTATCAATTATTTCATCTCAATTTTTTGAGGTGAATCGCGTTGAGGGAGTATTATTGTACCCTCGTCATTCGTTAAGGGTCGAATTTACGATTGTAATTATGTATAAACTGAACGCTATACAATGTATATTATAGATCAATTATAAATGAAAATCACTCATCATTATGAAAATAAAAGTAACTATATGGAAATATCAGTGGTGATTACTCGTGTACCTGCTAATTATAGATCCCCAGACGGAGTTTTTTTTATCGTCAACACATTCGTCTCTGGAAACTGGATCGGCACTGGACGTTCTCACATTTTTGTTTTCGTATTTTTTTTTTCGTTCCGCTTTGCTTTATTTTCAGGTCATTTTCATTTGTCTTGGCATCGGGTCATCGTGACCCACGTAAAAATGGAAGACTCCCTTCGCTGGTTTTATACTTGTGTGCTTCCCTGCCACGCCTTCTCTCCTTCACCCTCTCCCGCTCTCCCTCTCAAAATCCCAGGATGTGAAATGAGAAACGGTCGGTCGTTTATCAGAAAAATCTTTTCGCGTCTGTTCTTCTTTGGGTGAACGCCTACCAATTCGTCCAAGTGTCTGTCCTTTTTGAATTTACTTGAAGACTATTTTTGATGAGTGAAGGACTGAAAAGATAACTTCTAAATTATCGTAGAGGAGTTACCACATTTACCATTGATTTTATCATCCTTATGCATTCGCAATGTCAATGATAGTCAAATGGCAATTGAATAACTTGAAATATAACAGACAACTGCATGATTCATCCTATTACAGCAGGCTTTGATTGAGGGAAATATTCTGGTCGCAACCAAGAGGAAAATTTCATTTCACGGAGAGAAATTTTTTTAAAAAATTCTAGTGCTAGCACGGGAAAAGAGGCGCAAAGTGACGGCCAGGAAAAAAATCCACTGCGAGCACTGGAAATTTTATTGGGGAAAACGTGAATTATTCCGAGTATTTCTGTGAAAATTTCACAGAAATCCCCAGAAATTTTACGAGAAATACCAAGAAATTTTACCTGCACAGCACTAGAATTTTTTCCAGTAATTTTTTCCAGCCGGTGGATTGTAATTTTTTCCAGTATTCGTACTCGAATTTTTCTAGAAAATTTCTCTCTGTGTTGAAAGAAAGACAACTGCAAAATTATCACAGAGGAGTTACCACATTTATCATTAATTTTATCCGCCTTATGAATTTGAAATGTCAACTGTGCGTTTTAATTGAGTTAGAAACCTTCATTCGTAACCAAGACCAAGATTTTTATTCACGGATGAATTGATTGGAGTGTGTGCACTGAGATAAAAACAAACACATTGTCAAACAAGTCTTATTTGGGCCAACAAAATCGCTAGTTGAAAATTGCCAAAAAAGAATTTGTTCGGTTCGAATTTCAAGGTCTCAAACATGAATAATTGTTCTGCTTTCGACAGCAACGAAATATTTGGCTCAAGAGGCGGATAATTCACACCAAACGCTGCCTTTTCAGGATGAAAATATCTCATATATTATTGTTTCATTCAAGAGTTCATTTGTTGTCTGTGATTATTAGCCAGCCGAAACGAAAAACTACTATCCCTTGTTTCGCATAAAACAAAGATTTCTCGGGAGCAAAATACGTATGGGAGTATCGAATAACGAAGGAGTAGTGCTAGAAATGACATTTCTTGCGTGTACAGAGCATGCAATTTTTTTTGAACTACTAAATCCATTTTTGCGACAAAAATTTTTCATTCCGGCGCACTCTCTGCATGTTTGGCACAAAAAAATCCTTTTTTGATCATTTTCAAAAAACTGTTTTCTTGGCACAAGTAAGAATTGTCTGANAGAGAGAGAGAGAGAGAGAGAGAGATGTGCATACAACTCTTCTACAAGTAACTACCACTGTTAGCTTCCCGTTCGGCCACGACAGGTGTAGCGTGGGAGAGAGGAGGCAGAAAGGAAGGATGATTGGAGTGGTAAGAGAAGTAAAAGTAAAACAAGTGGAGGATGAAAGACTGAAAAAGAGACAAGCTGAGAAGGCGGTCGCCAGTTAACGTCTCTTGCCGCCCATCAACCTTACCCTGTCGTTCTGCCCCTCTCCCATGAAGAATGCAAGTGGACATGTCTTCTCCTATACCCCGAGAATAAAAAGGCGATGCACTACAGAAACGAAAAAAAAAAGAAAAAAGCCTGCTAAAATTCGCAATCATTTTTTTCTTTCATCTATTGGAGAAAAAAAAATGGCATCAGTTGGTTGAAAATTAGAAGCCCCTTCTAATGACGGAGAGGCGTGTCCAGGTTATAAAGAATACGTGAAGCTATAAAACTACATCACGCATCGGCGGGACACTCTCTCCTCCGAGCATACTGTGTGCTACGGTGGCCCCCATCGCACGTACCTGACCCTCTCATGTTGGGATGCAGTCGGCGCTCATATTCACATCGCTATGGATATATGTTGTATTCTCGTATTATACACTCGAGACAGGAAAGACGGGTTATGATTCTCGGAGAGTTCATAAAAATCGAACGGCTGTCACGCGATAAGGGTTAATGGAGCGGAGGCTCACAGTAATTCTGTCCTGCAGCTTGAGCTTTATTGAACTGAGAAAATTTTCAAGTTTTATTGTGGAATCTTTTGGCAATCCCCAATTATACTGCCAACCTTTTGTTGTAAATTATTTCTTTTCTGTTGCTGAGCGACTGCTGAATGGAACTGATATATGGTTCAACTGTACAATTGGACATTTTTTTAAAATCCTTTAATAAAAAATCCGGTGTCAACGTTTTTTGAAGGCAATCTATTCGCACGCTTATATTTTTGTTGTGAAAATGAAGAAATCGAATTTATTAAACTTCATATACTCATAGATGTTTTATAAATATTGATAATGGCTTAAAGAGAATTAAGGGAATGAAGAGAATGAAGAATGAAACATCAATGAATAATTTTTAATTTTCGATTAATTCTTTTTTTTACTTTGGAAAATAATTTGATTCAAATCTGTAATTGTTGAAAAATGAGGGAAGGGTTATGAATTAATTTCCCAGAAAACTGAAAAAATTTCTTGAATTCTTCGGAAAATTCCAGTTTTCCAGATAACCGTAGCTCTTCAAAGATTTTT